GCACCGGGCGTCCTCTGGCCATCGCGGGGGGTGTGGAGGAGCCATGGGGACGCTGCCTGCTCTGCCTCCACCCCATGCTGCCCTCACACACAGACGGGACCCCGGCAAGGGACCTCCTGGGCACGTGTTGAAGGCCAGGAGGGTCCACAGACAGTTCCAGACGCAGGTGAGCCTCTGCGGTCCACCTACGCGGGGAGGTTGTGAAGTGAACCACCTCCCTGTAAACACCTCCCCAGCCCCAGCCCTGCCACTTCATCCTTGGGACCAGAGAGGGGCTGCGTTCAGAGCCTGCAGCCCAGCACTGGGTGGGGGGCAGAGGTCTTTGGCAGCAGTGCCCAAGGTGAGGGGGTCCTAGAAGGCAGGGTCAGGGAGAGCAGGGGGAGGTAGGCACAGAGAAGAGAGACCGGGGTGCCAGGGGTGGCTGGGGGGGACCCGGGAGTGGGGCGGGACGGGGAGGTGGGGCCAGGACCCTAATCGCTGGACACGTGGTTCTCGTTCTGAAGCTGGTGCCAGCGCTCGATCTTCTTGTCTTTGTTTTTCAGACACTCGTACCAGTGTTTCAGACGCTCTCCCTTGGCTGAGATCCCCAGCTGGCAGCCTCCTGGAGGACAGGGAGGGCCGAGGGGGGCAGGTGGTCAGGAAGCCCGAGTGTGAAGTTAGGGGGAAAACTGCCACCGACGCCCCCCACCCGCATCGAGCAGCCCGGAATCCATTCTCCGTGGAGGGCTGTGGATACGATGTCGTCACCCTCCTGGTCACTATTACCCTCGGCTCTCTGGGCCTCACTCAAGAGCCTGCAATGGCTCCCTGCTACTGTCCCGCTCCTGGCTGCCTTGCCTGTTTCTCTCTTTTGAAGACTTTCTACAGATTGTCACCCGGTGTCCTTTGCCTGGACGTCCCTCCCCACTCTGTCTTTAATGAACTTCTCTTCCTTGTCTTTTAGAAACCCTGACCCTGGAAGGGCAAGCGGGCTGAGGGGGGTTCCCGGGCACCTGCTTCCTGCTGTGGGTTAATTAACCCTCTTCGCCCTGCAAGTCCCCAGGCTCTAAGGGCCCTTCCCTCTGGAGGCCATCCTCGATGGTGCCAGGGTCAGCATCCTGGGCCCCAGAGACCAGGCGGGAGCTCAGCCCCCGCAGCCCTGGGCGGGGCTCCGTTTCCTCTGGAGTCGGGAGCACTCACCGATGTAGTCGTTGGACTTCCCGATGTCGTAGTCCCAGACAGAGATGTCCAGCGACTTCTTGGCCAGGTCACTGTGTTTGATGTCGTAGAAAAACTCCTGAGGACAGCAGAGGAAGATGAGAGAGGTCCTGAGCCTGCAGCAGCGAAGGGGCTGACTCCAAGGTTCATGGGCAGCCCTGGGGCTGGGCCGCCTGGGGCCAGGATTCCTCCCACTCTGGTCCTCCCAGTAATCCCCCTTTAACCAACTCTCTGTACGACAAAGCCCTGTGATCCTCTTTCTAGTGAATTCTCGGTTCAAAACGGGAGCTTGCTGGGTTTCCTGGGCCTGCTCGGCCCCCTGAAGGCAGATGCCCAGGAACTCAGGTGTCCCTGCTGGTAGCTTTAGGAGGGGGGTCTTCCCCCTTCTTAGGGAGTGAGGCCGTTGGGGTGGACCAAGTGGTAGGTGTTTCTAAATAATCCCATTAAAAAATGACTCTTCTAACTAATTATAAAACTCATTCTTGTTCATTGTTAAAACATAATGGAGAAAAATAAATCCCCTGTAATCCAGCTGTCCAAGAATAACCTAGGTCACGGTTTGCCGAAGCTGCTCCACATTTTTAAAAAATGATCTGATATCGAGTACACAGTGTTGTAGCATCCTTTTTGCGCTTTATGACCTACGGTAAAATCCAGCTTAGCGTGTTTGCAGATATCTTAAACATATATTTCTACATCACCCTTTTTTTAAAAATTCCCCCCCTTTTCCCCTTTGAGTGTAAAAGAGTGGGATTTGTTCAAATGAGAAGAAAAGAGACCGAATTCCTGTAGGGGGAGAGGGGGACCCAATAGGGGTTTCCTGTACACCACCATTTTAATGGCCGTTTGGGTATACCATAAGCTAATCCCTAATAGTTGGGCATTTCTATTAGTTCCAAGTTTTCACTATCATTAATGATCATTATTTACAATAATTTCCAGGGAGTTTCGATATTTAAAGATGGAGAACAATGGGTGTTCTGAGATGCCGGATGCCATTTGTGTAAGATGAGGAGGGCCGGTCACATGCAGATTGGCTTTGGAAATATTTAACTGAACGGCCTGATTCTCCAAATCACCGGAAGTGGAAATCCTTTGTAGTTTTGACGTGTCTACACAGGCGTCCTCCACAGCTGGCCGGGCGGCTTCTCACCAGCAGAGTGCCCATTCCCCCAGAGGCTCACAGACCTTTTAAAGCATGTCGGGCCGTGCGCTACGAGCTCTGCTGTTGGGTGGTATTGCTTTGCCTATTTCCTATGGTTCACTGGTACTTGGGTTCCTTGCTCTGTGGCTTGTTGGGATCCCAGGAGAGGGCGACGCAGGAGGGGGACCTGGCTCCTTATTCAACATCCACAAGCCTCGGCTGGGACATGAGGTGACCTGCTGAAAGGGCCCCGGGGGAAGGGCAGAGCGGAGGGGTCCGGATTCTCTGGGCCCTGTTCACACGGTCCCTTCCCCAAGTGGACGCATCGGAGAGTCCCTTCCTGCTTGACATAGAATAAACCCCCGTGTTAGCTGGTTCTGCCCCAACCTCAGGTCTCAGGGGTCCAGAAGGGAGAAATGAATGGGCTGATGGGCACCAGGGCAGCGGCTCTGGGCATGGGGTGGCTGAGGGGGCGGCCGAGCATTCCTTCTGTCTGTGTCGCAGGTTTGAGGTGGAAACCGCACACAGAGCTTAGATCAGCGCTCAGCATCTCTTCCGCTGTCCTCTGTCCTGTCCCTCTTTAGTGTAACGGATTCTCCTGGGGCCTCGTGTCTTCCAAGCTTGTCAGCAGGTGACTGAAACCCAGAGGGACCCGGTAGGTCACAGGGAAGCACCAGACCTGGAAGCGCAGGGACGCGCCCTCTGCAGGAGGCACCAGCAGTGCACCAGGACCTCCTTGGAATTCCGCGTGACTGGAGGGGAGGGCGTGGAGGTGAGCCAGCCAAGAGATTCGAGGATCCTGGTTGAGTTGATTGAGCAAGGGCAGCGGGAACCCGCGCGCGTGTTTTACAGAGTTCACACTTATTTGCAGGGGGAGGCGAGCACAGAGAAGGGAGTCAGGGGTCTACTGCAATCGTCCAGGCACGAGATTCCTGGGTCTGAACCAGGCGGTGGGAGGGAGATCAGAGAAGGAGTTTGACGGCACCCAGACGGTGGCATCAGCAGAACTCGATGCCCTGGATGGATATGGGGATCGGCAGCACCAACTGCAGTGGTTGGCCTCAGCCTCTGCAGTGTACCCCCCCCCCATTGTATTCCTGATCTGTGGGCCTTGGCCTGAGCCTCGATTCCCGCCAGTGACAGGGAGCTCATTCCCACGTCTGTGGCTGCTCAAGCCGATCGAGGACAACAAGCTCTGTGGATGTGATTCCCGAAATCCCAGCAGGAGTCTGTTCCTCTCACCCACAGGAAGTGCCCCAGAGCACGACCCAGGACGGGGCAGCCTCACCTCGTTAAATTCAGGATTCAAGGTTTTCTTTTTAATCTGAGTCTTGTGTTTGGCCTTCTTCCCCATGTCTGGTTTCAGCCAGCTGTGAGGGGACAGGAGCGGCTGTTACAGATGACATTTAATGACGGCCCCCCAGGCTCCTTCCAGCCATGGGATGAGAATGGAGGAGCAGGTAGGTCAGGAAATGAGCCACCCCTGGGGTCTGCAGGCTGCTGGGCAGGCGCCAGGCCCTGCGCCAAGCCCCCCCGCCCATGTCACCCTCACACGAGCCCTGGGCAATAGGAATACAACCACTTGTTGTGTTTCTACCGTCCAAGGTCCAGAGAGGTTGGGACATGCACCCTGGGTCACACAGCCAACAATTATACCCAGCTGTTGTATCTGGAGCCTGTGTTCTTAGCTGCCACTTTCTCCCATTCAAATGGGGGCGCGTGGCTGATGGTACCTGGCACTTTCACCCCTTAGGCTGCTTCTCCCCGCAAGTCCTGGTGAGATGCTAGGTGTGTGGCGGGGCAGGGGTGGGGGGGGGCAGGGGGAGATGATTCTGACCTGATGATGTCATCCCACTGCTGTTCCCTTTGACCTAGGGGGAGAGTTTAAAGCCCTCAGTAGCCTTAAGACCCTGTGTGGCTGGGTCCCTGCTCTTTCCCAGCCTGATCCTGCTATGCTCTTTATTCCACTCTGTTCTTGCTCTCTTTTCCTCCCCTTTGTACATGCTGTTTTTTTCTGTCTATAAGTCTTCCCTGGTTCAGGCACAAAGTTTGGCACATAGTAGATGCTCAGTCCATATGTTTGGGATGGAAGGACACTGCATACTTTAGGGACAGTGTTTGACAAAAGTCAAATGTTCATTATCAAAATGTGTAAATAACAAAGTGTTTTTTTAAAAGCTATGCTAAAAAAATTTTTTTTTAAACTTAGACATTTAAACAAAATGCTCTAAATTTTGCAGACGTCATTTGGTTTCTCTCTGCCTGAGGCCATCACTAGCTGAGCCACTTTGAACATGAGTGTAAACTTACTGTGCCCCAGTTTCCTGACCTGTAAAGGGAGCACATTTCTGTCTCATTCACAGATTTAAAGGTGGTTTTTAGAAGAGTCACAAATAAGGAACTGAGAGTCCCCAGAAGCTGAAAAAACTAAAGGGCAGTTCCGGCTTAAACCTCTTTATTTGATTGGAAACTGTGGGCTGGTTCGCTGGGGGCCCTCTGGAAGGATCAGGCCAGGAGGGGGATTGTTTGGGGGAAACCTCTGCCTGGGGCTGAGACAGAATGGAGCCCAGGTCACACTCCCTGTGGGGTGAGCTCCTTGTCCATCTTGGGCCTTATCCAAATCTCCCTGAGAAATCAAACTGAGCCCTGATGAGGGCTCCTGGTTGACAGAATCATCACTGGGAGAAATTCTGGAAGAAATTCCACAGCGGCCTGTTCTTTCCCCAGGGCTCAGGGGTCACTGGGGGACAGCGGAGGTTGGAGTGTCCCCCAGTGGGAGAGAACATTCAGAAACACTCTGCCGTCAGGAGAGTGATAACCACAACAGCGGTATTTACTGAGCACCTACTATGTGCCAGACCTCACAAAAGTGCCCCTCTTGGGTCCCGGAGGGCAGGTGATGAAATTGACTGACAGGAGGACAGGGCTTTGAACTGTGTTCTATCTCATGAGTTTGCAGGGACACGTGGTGGCTCATTCCTAGAGTGTGCAGGGCCCCCTGGAAGCTTTGCATGGACCTGCACTGCAGCCGGAAATTCTTCCTGCCTAGATTTCCTCCTTGCCCTCTCCCCTCTGCAGGGATCAGACTTGTAATCGGGGTCTGTCTTCTCTAGGGACCTCCTGTGGATGCCTCCTGGATCCCTTCACAGACATTTCCCCCATGAAGCTCCTGCACATCTCATTCTTTCCTGCATATCTCATTCTTTCTTGGAGAATCTGCACTAACGCACAGTGCTATTCTATTTTGCAGAGGAAGACACTGAGGCTCAGAGAGGCTAAGCTACAAAACCCCAGGCCACATAGCCAGAGAATACTGGAGAATTGGAGCTGAGAGTCAAACCCAGGCAGTATGAACCCAGAGCCTACCCTCTTAATTATTCCACAAAGACACATTTTGCTGCCACAGGGTAAGGCAGGATTCCATAGAGGCGCTAAACATGACTGTACTTGGTGTAACTGTAATTGCTCTCTATGGGTGGGCCTCTCTAATTCAGAATCTACAAGGATCCAAAGTCTGAAGCTTCTTGGGGGAGAATTTCACCCCCGACGTCATGTGATCGGCCTCAGTCAGAAAGCAGGTGCACTACAGATAGTCCATAAATTCGCCTCCGACTCTGTGTGGGGGAAACCTCTGCCTGTAGTGTGTATTTGAAACATAAATGAATTTTGGGTGCAGAATTGGCTGCCACACACAAGAAGTTTCGCTGAGTATGTGCAGATTTTCCCAAAGCCCCAAACATCTGGATTAACAAGATGTGACCCTGTGATGGGGGCTTTTGTGGAATCACATAAACCCATCTAAGGTCCTGGAGCATTTCTAGGATGAATCGGGGGAAAGCTGGGTGGCTGCTTTGGAGCTGGGGCTCTGGGCTGCAGGAGGGGGTGCGACTGACTCCTGGGGGCTGCGCATGGGGTCATTGCCACCACCCGCCACTCATTCTCCCAGGAGGGGGCAGAACTGCCAGCCTTGCAGGGAGACCCTGCCTCCCCCTGGCGCCCATCCTGGTGCCCAGTTCACTGTGGTCCCGCCCCTCCCGGGCCTCGGGGCGCGAGGGTCTCAGGGAAGCTCCTTGGCCCCAGGAGTCCCTTCGTGGTCCCCAGGCTCGGACTCACAGCTTGACAAATGGGTCCGAGTAGCCGTTGGCGTCCATGGCGGCCAGGTGCACGCAGCGCACGATGCCCACGATGAGGCCCCCCTGCTGTGTGCTGTACATCAGGGACACCAGGATCTTGCCACGTTCCTCAATGTCGCCAATGCGCTCCACCTGCTGCTTGGGGCGGGGAAGCAGGGTAGGCTCGTGAGCGGGGTGAGGGAGGTGGGGGGTGTCCCCAGCAGCGGGCCAGGGGCAGGGTCAGCACCACGGACAGCGGACGGACCCACCCTAATGGGCGCTGAGGCACGTGGCCAATGGCCAGCTCTGACCCTGCCCGGGACTGAGCCCTGACTCTGAGCAGAGGTTACACCTGATGCTGGCCCCTCACTGGCCTTGACCCTGACCCAGGGCTGAGCTTGACCCTTGACTCTGCTCTCACTCCTCTTTGACCAAGTGCACTCCCTGGGGTCCCAGGTAGGACCTGGTGGGAGATGGGCAGGGTCCGCCTGCTCCCGCCCACGAAGGGACCTGCTCCTGCTCTGGTCTTCCGTGAACTTGGGGGAACAAGGCCAGGGGCATTCCCGTGTGTGTGTGTGGGTGCTGCTCTGCCTCGAAGCCTGGATAACCAGAGCCAGCAGGACGCAGCAGGACAGGGCTGGGGAGGAAGGGCAGAAACAGGAGCAGGGCCACCAGCACAGCACCCCACGGCCCTTGATGCTCACCTCCTCCTCGTAGAGCGCCATGCCGCGGGCCGACCCCGTGGTCCCTGCACGCTTCATCTGAATGGAAGGAGACAACATTGTCTAAGGGGCTCATCTCCTGGAACCCCTCAGGCAGACCAGGGTAATGCCCAGCCACTCGTGATGTAGGTTCTATTACAGTCCTCAGTTTACAGATGAAGACACTGAGGGTCAGAGTGGGGTCTTCCTCCTGAGCTTCAGCTACAAAAATGTGGCCTGGCTCCCAGGGAGTCCATCCCCAGGCTGGCAGTTGGGTGAAATAGGCTGCAGGACCCCGCCTGGCCCCCTGGCTCCCCAAGTGGAGCTGGCTGCTGCCTGGGGGGCAGGGGCTGGTGGCAGCGAGCTGTTGGCTCGACCCAGGGTCTCTGGAGAGCAGGGTGCTGCCTCTTGAGAGCTCCGTCCATCCCGGACTCTGGGCCTGAGTTGCCAACTTGGTTTGCTGAGTTCCTGTTCTAGAATCCCCTGTAAGCTCTGGGGGTGCTGCCTAATTGTGAAACCTCAGATTAATACTCGTTCTTTCTCTAAGGACAAGTGCCACCTCCAATGAGAACCGTGATCCTACTCTGTATCACTGTCACCTATAATCCTTAAAAGACCCCGCCGTGAGGTGTGTAATGCAGTGTCCCATTTAACAGGTGAGAAAACCAAGGGCCAGGGACATGGGGGCTGTGCCAAGCCCTGCCTCTCTGTATGGTGTCATATGGCTTTGGGACAGGCAGGAGGGTTTGGAGCAGTGTTCCTGTGACAAAAGCTTGTTACACAGTGGGCTCTGTTCTGGGCTTTATTTGTTTGCGTTAAACACAACCATCTTCTGTCACTGATACGATGTCCATTTCCCAGGCTCAGAATGGCTCAGTCCACCACAGAACAGGAAGTGGCAGCTGGACCTTGACCCTTGACCCCAGGGCACCTTGGGAGAAATGATGCTAACTGGGATCTGCCTGGCAGAGGGGACCTGGCCTGATGCTACCTGCAGAGAGAGCCCCCTCCTCTCCACGGAGGCTGCAGCGTTTAGCCCCGTGGGTGCCCTCTGGGTGCCTGGTGGGTCTGACCCCAGAGAAGATCCAAGAGGGTGGCAGGCACCCCCGCCTCTGGTCCCCCATTGGATCCCCAGGCCAGGGAACTCACGGGGATCACCCGCTCCAGACAAATATTGAAATTCTTCCTCTGGTTGGGCTTCAGTTTCTTGAGCGAGAATCTGGTCTCCCCAATGAACTCATTGTGGCCGAATTTGTCCTCGTCACAGACGGAGATCCTGCCGTGGACATAAGGGGGTGAGGGGGGAGAGAGAAGCAAGCGCTGCGCTCCTACTGTGTGCCGGGCTTGTGGCTGATGGTGGTGAGGGACGTGGGGGTGTCTAGGGACGAGGGTGTCCTCTGTGCAGACCCCTGGGCTGGGCGCTGTTTATCTCTTCCCGACTCAGGGTAACGTCCACGCGGTCAAGTGCGCCTGGTCAGTGCGCACGGCCTGACCACGTGAGCCCTGCACACACTGCTCGGCTCAGGATAGGGGAGGTTCCAGGGTCGGCAGCCTCTGGGACTCCCTGCCTCCTGGGTCACCCCTCTCTTGGCCTCTGGCTGCATGGAAGCCACTGTCCTGCATTTGATTTTCAGATTAAATAGAGTTGGAGAGCGCGGGCTCCTTCCCATAGGGCTTCCTTTGCTCAGCACCATAACTGGGAGACTCAGCTGTGCACCTTCGGCCTCTGAGTCCACCAGTTCTGCACCCGCGGGTCAGTCCCACCAGGGGAGGGGAAACATTTGAAAATATTTTCAGTCTGCACTGAATGTGCCTAGGCGTCTTTCTTGTCATTATGCCCTGACCGGACACTGGGACCGACCACTATTTACACGACATCCATATGGTGTTAGGTGATAAGTCACCTAGGGGTGACCTGGGATGCCCAGGAAGACCTGCAGGCCGAGAAGCCCGCACTCTGCCGCTTCAGACACAGGCCTCCCGCCTCTGCGGACCAGTGTCCACCCAGCCCTGGGACCACTCCCTGTGGACACTGCTAGAAGTCGACGTTGTTTTGGTAAATGGAATAAAGAAAGAATGATGCAGAGGATCTGTAAAAGGGGGACCCCCAGGAGCTGCACCCCAAGTCCTAGTTCTGCCCGGCCTTGGTCCCCTCTCGCCTCTCCCCGCCCTGAGGTACCTGAGGGTCTTCCTCTGCATGTCCTCGTCCGTGATGCCGTGGTACACAAGGGTCTCATTCCAGACAGGGTTCCGAGTGTTCCGCAGGGTTTTTGTCCGTAGCTTGTTGGACTAGAGCCCCAGAGAGATGGACAGACAGATGCCCGCCTCAGTGGGAGTGGCCCTGGAGACCCATCCCGTGAGCTTTTTTGGGGGTGGGCAGTGGCTTTTCCCAAAGGAGTGTCCCAGGGCTTAGTGTTCCCAAATGCATGCTCTGAGCGTGTGGCATGTCCTCTAGACGGTGGCCACAGACACATGGGTTAAGGTTCTGCACGGCTCCCTCCTGGAGCCTTCCCATTAGGGAAGGAAGAAGAGACGTCGTCCTTTAAGATGTCCCTGGCACTCGTCCTTTGAGAAGCCAGAACATCTTTACAAGTCAGGGAGGTAGAAATGAGTCTCCTGTCCCCAGGCAGGGGACACTGGGACCATTCCCTCCATTGCCCCCAATAGTATCCTTTCTGCCTGAAATGCTTTAGAGGAGACAGAATATGAAACTTTGTTCCAAGAGAGAAGAAACGTCACTATCAGAAGAGGAGAACTGGTGACCAATCTAATTCACGCTGACATGTAAGTGGCTCCTATTGGATCTTCTGCCAAGGAAGGTTTGGAGTTGACCAAAAAAGTGTGTCTTCAGTGGCGGTGGAATGAGTTAGACATTGTCACCCGAAGTACATGTGGGAAGTCACGAACGGTGTGAGAATACTTTGTGACCCATCAGTGACTTGAAAAATTGTGCTCTATCTGTGTGATATGAAGTGAACTGCCTTCTGCCCTCGTGTATAACACATTAGAATAAATAAATATGTAAAAATGTGTCTTCATGGGAATCAAAGGCTGCTGGGAGTGGGTGGAGTTTACGAGCTGGCCACAGCCAGGAGAGGGACTGTCATTGATCCCAATAAAGGAAGAGCCGGACATGGTGGCGCACACCTGATATCCCAGCAGCTCGGGAGGCTGAGGCTGGAGGATGGCGAGTTCAAAGCCAGCCTCGGCAAAAAGCGAGGAGCTAAGCAACTCAGTGAGACCCTGTCTCTCAATAAAATACAAAATAGGGCTGGGGATGGGGCTCAGTGGTTGAGTGCCCCTGAGTTCAATCCCCAGTACCCCGCCCCCCACAAAAAGCAAACAACAAACAAATAAACAAACAAAAACAACAAAGGAAGAATGAGCCAAAGTGCGTGTGTGCATGTGCGTCCATGTCCTCTTTTGTCTTAGGGGGCACCTGAAACTTGCAGAGGTATTTAACAGGCGGGGCCCCCACCCCTCAGGCACAGAATGCTGTCTGAAGGGCTTAGCACTAAAATCTGGAGAAAGTCACTCGTTTCTGTCCAGAGACAAGCCTTGGTCATTTTGAGATGGAGGGATGAGCAGACCCCGCTCCTGCCCCCCACTTTACCTCTCATGGCTTTGCACTCATGGGGCAGGGCCTAGATTGGGGGCAGATAGGGCTATTTTAGGCTCTGAGCTGAGAGCCCTGTGGCTGCCAACGCCCAGGCTCCAGCCTGCAGAAATGCCCAGGCCAGATGGTACCTTGCTGGCTCCCGGCAGGAGGTGCAGCTTCACATAGGGATCGGCCAGGCCATTGGAATCCATGGGCTTCAGTCCCTGCAAGACACGGAGGCAATGGAGGTGAGGACCTGGGGAGGGCTGGGGTCCAGGTGTCCTGGGCAAGGGGCGTGTCCCCTGGCATCTGCCCTTCCTGTCCATCTACCCTGTGTGTTCATCTTCCAAAGAGAAAAAAGGGGAACATGGTGTCATGGGAAGAGCACAGGGATCAGGCAGACAGGGCTCCAAGGCATGTCGCTCCCTAGCTGTGTGACCTTAGGCAAGTTTCGTAACCTTTCTGGGCCTCAGTTTCCTCACCTGACAATCTCACCACTCGTTTTCAAGGAATGGGGAGACTTAAATGCAGTCCCACCTGTAAAGTGCCTGCTCCCCACCGCTTGGAAGCCTACATTAGTGCCTTTGTAGCTGTGGCCGCAGGCCCCCTGCTCTGGCTGAGGCTCCAGTTGGTCATAGGGAACCAGGCCCAGGAGGACACAGTGCTATTCTGCCTTGTCAGCTGTCAGGCCGAGCTTTGAGCTGGCATGACTTCCCAGGTGGCACCTCCATGCCACCCCACCCAGGTGCTGAGCAGTCCTGGGCAGATCCTGGCTCTGCCCCCTAGAGGCAGCCAGAGGTAAATGCACCCCCTGGGGGACCATCCCAGGGGAAGTCCCACCCCCCCAAGGAATCTGCTGTGGTTAATGACTGTGCTGCCCTTATCACTGTTACTGTCCCAGGTAGGTGACAACAGACAGGCCTGGCAACCCATCCCCACCCGAGTCTCCTAAAAATGCCAGAGCATCCCGGGGTCTCCCAGGCCCCTCACCCACCTTAGCCTTCACGATGGTGCACTGCAGAGAGCTGTTGTCCTGGTCATAGAGCAGGCTGAATTCCAGGGCACCCAGGGTGGCTGAGAGGACAGAGACAGGAGCTGGGAGGACACTTGTGTATTCATTCAACAAACATCTCCCAAACACTTTCTATGTGCCCGGGTGGGGCTGGCCTTGGAGACGACAGGGGGAGGAGGACCTTGGCCCTGCTCTGATCGCTCCCTCTGGCCGACCCTCCTCTTCACAGCCTCCTGTGGCCAGTTAATTATTTGTGCACTTGTTTAGTTAATGACTCTCCATCCTGCTGGATTGAGAGCCCCAGGAGGGCAAGGGTGGCCACTGTCTTGCTGACAGCTGGGTCCCCACTATGCATGGTGAAGGACACACAGTAGGCCTCTCTTACTGGATGAAGGAATGAATGAGTTTGAGCCTTTGCCCTTCCCTTTGACTGGAATGCTCCCCCTCCACATCCTCACATGGCTCACACTGTCTCACAGAGAGGTCCCCCTGACCCCTCTGTGTGCCGCGGCCACCCTGGCCATCACGCCATGTCTTATCCCCTGCCCCGTGCTCTGTCTCCATTTGCAATGAGCTGGAGTTGTTAACAATCTCTCTACACTAGAGTGTTGGCTCCGGCGGGTCTGCCAGCTCATTCCAGCCGTGGCGTCGTCCCCAGTTCTCCAGCAGTTCGAGGCACCTGGCATGGGCTCATTGAATACTTGTCAAACATAAAGACATGTCGAGTGAGCGGGGAGTGCCGGGTTGGGTCTGAGGACAGGTTTGTCACCAGCCACATGGAGAGGCTTATGGAGAGGTCAGACAAGAGGCTGGGAGGGTTCCCCTATTGCTGGAGGGCTGGGGGACGTTCAGGGGGGCAGAGGTCCCGTCCAGGACAAGGAGCAGGACAGGGCAAGGCAGGGAGATGGCTTCTACCCGCCCAGAGAGGAAACAGCCTGTGGCCAGCAAGGACCAGGGGAGAGCACAGAGACCATGGGACAGCTGACACTCACCCAGCCTGGCCTCTGACCTGTGTGAGCTCCATAAGTCCCTAAGCCTCTTGGAGCCTCCCCCAGGCCATCTACAAGATGGGGCCATAGCAGGAGTTGCCCAGGTTCCCAGGAGGATGAGGTGAGCACAGGTTCCCAGCACACCTGGGCGGGGGGTGCAGAAGCAGCAAGTGTGACTGTCAGGTCCCCTGACGTCCAGGTCACATCATAGCGACTCTTCTGTGTTTAGCACTTAGCAGGAGGATGAAGCCAGTCACGAAGCCCCTCCCAGGAGGGACCTCAGCGGACCACCCCGTGCAGGAGGCGAGCTGGCCGCTGTGTGGGTCAGCTCCAGAAGGGCTCTTGGAGCACCCATGGGACCCAGATGCTGCTAACCCTGCCTCCCCAGCTCTCCCGGCTGCACCCAGGAGAAGACTGTGCCCCCACTCGTCCCTGGGCCTCGGGGTCTGGGAGGGGCCAGATGCACAGAAGCCGGGGAGGTGAAATGCTGGTAGACACACCCAGGACAGGGCTCGCCCGGCCCCGTGACAGCTCTGTCTGACTGAGGGACGTTGAGACGGAACGTGAAGGACACGCACACGGCTCCTGCCTTGCTGTCTTAAAATGACCACGGTAACTTTGATGTCTGTGTGTTTTACCAGAAAACTGGGCACTTATCTTTAGGAAGCTGATCTCATCTGGGGAACTTGGAAACACAGATTTGTATTTTTCTAACTCTCATATGTACGAGGGGCTGGGTGGATGGGTGGACCCAGGGCGGGCCCTGTCCTCCTGGGGTCAGCTCCTGGGGTGGCTTCTCCTAGACACTGCGTCTCAGGTGCCACCTACTTGCTTCATCGGAATCGTAGCTGTTGGCATCCTCCTCCTCCTCCGGGGGTGGCTGGCGGGTGGGGGCGGGGGCAGGCTGGGGCGCAGCTGCGGCTGCTTGGGAATAAGGGCCCCCAACTCCCCCTGTTCTCTCTTCACGGGCTGGGGTCGTGGTTCCCGTATAGCCAGGGTCGCTGGGAGCCACTTCTGTAGGGACATGAGAGAAGACACATGAATCCCTGTTTCATACCAACAGTATTTAAGGAAGCTTAAGGGGCCTGCAGGTTCCCAGGGCCATCCGTGGGCCGTGCATTGGGGCCTGGGAACCTGTGTTGGACAGCAAACCCCTGGAGTCGATCCACACATGGGCAAAACAGATCTCTCAGGGTGCTGAGCAGTGGTGTGGACCCCAGACAGACAGCTTGGGTTTGTATTGTGGTTGTGTGACCTCAGGCGAGTTACTTAATGTCTCTGAGCCTCGGTTTTCTCATCTATAGAATGGAAATCATACCTGAGGGTAATGTAATAGTAGTGGGTATTATTTTACACAATGCCCTAATTGCACAGCACTAAAACAGTACCTGGCACATTAGAAAGCAATGGCCGTGTGGTGGCCGTGAGGGTTGATGATGGATGGCCAGCTATCCGTCCTACACAGTGATCACTGCTGCTTAGTGGGGGCTTAACACACATTGGGCTCCTGCTAAGGTTTTTTATTTATTAGTTTGCTTCACCCTCCTAACAACCCTGCTAAGAGAGAAGAAAACTGAGGTTCAGGGAAGTTCAGGGACTTGTCCTAAGTCACACAGTGAGAAAGTGAGGAAACAGGGATTTGAGACCTGGCCACCTGTGCTCTGAACCCCATTCTGTGTTGGCATTGCCTGTCTATCGAATCAGCACGGATGAGTTGGAGGGTTAGAATCAGGGGCTGCTTGGACCCCATCAGATAGTCTCAGAACGCAGGCTGAGCCCATGGTGGGTACCGATTTCACCAGGGCAGTAAGCGGAGGTGGCCAGGTGGGTGGTGGGGGAGAGGAGGGCACTTGGGAGGGAGCAAACACTTGCCTGGTCTCTGCTCTGGAAAGCGCCCTGCTGGCCCTGGCGCGGGTCTGCTGCCCCCTGGGGGCCCTGAGGGGGAAGGAGAGAAGGGGTGTAGCAGAGGGGCCATGTCATTTAGGGCCCCCTCCTCCACCCCCCCTCAGCCCCCACCTCTCCTCCTCCTCACTCCGCCCCTTCTCCTCTGCCCGCCTCCTCCTCCTCCTGCCACCTCCTCTGCCCCTCCTCTTCTG